CCGATTGAGCCCATTATAAGTAGTTTGATCCATCAAACTTCACAATTATAATCTGAAAGGCATTCTCAGACATGTTACCAGAATTGCTAGTCCCAAAAACACCTTCCCCCTGATTCTTGAACTCCATTCTTGGTCAAGAATTAATAATAAAAAACCTTTTAAACTACTGTAATAGAAAAACAGCACGCAAACAACTGATAACAGCCAGCCTAGGTCTTCCAAAGAACAAAGAAAACACTGTATGAAACCAGTTCAAAATCTGATCTGAAACCAACAACAGTTCTGAATTTTAGGATTTTCTCTCAAAACCCTAAAGGAAAAAAAAAAAAAAAAAAAAAACAGATTTTCCAACCGAACCTCTCAGAATAGACCAAGATGATTTTTTCCAAGGTTATTCTCAAGAAAAAACTTACTTTATGAATGAAAATCTCTAGCCACCACCTTCTGTCTGATGCAAAACCCTAATCTTGAGGATTCGAAGCCTTTTCTGATTCTTCTTGACTACTGGAACTCTCCCAGCCTTCTACAATCTTCTTAGTAGCAGCCGCACACTACCAGTAACCTCCAAGAATCAGCCAATCCTCCTTTGTTGAAACACTTCTAAACCTAGGAAATTCTCATGTAGTCAATCTATATAGACTAACATAAGAGCTCCTAGGTCGGCTCTGATACCAAGTAGTCGATCAAGACTATAATCAGTCTTGAATTCAAAGAAAAGAAATAAGAAATTTCAGAAGAGAAGAAGAGAGGGAGAAAAGAGAAGAAGCACACGAAGAGATTTTGAAAAGAGAGAGAGGGTTGATCAGTAGATCTGCCGACCCACTCTTAATACTTATATATGTTCACTAATTGTAAAAGGGCTGAGTTGCCCTTATTGGTTACATGGCAAATAAACTAATAATAAAGCTGAAATAACAAGCTGTAATAACAAACTGAAATAACTACCAACTAACACTGACATAACTAATAAAAATAAACTAACAAAAAATATGCTGCCATACGAACACAGTGAGGACCACAGCAGTGGGGTCCACATCAGTGTTCTCTACAAAGATTACTTGAACCTTGGTTTTCCTTAGATAACTTTTAAGCTTCCCCAGGGGGACTTCTCTACGTGCCCCTGTTGTTCACCACCAAGTGTGCACCACGTGTATACCAGCCCGCGACATCAGCATCTTCAACCTTGGAACCTCTTCCCCAAAGAGACGCTTCCACTTCCAAGACTAGCCACACACAATACCAGTATCCTTCTGAAAACACTTCAACAAATCTGGGTATCATTTCTGGTTTCACTCCTGCAACCTTGACCTCGGCAGTGACAAGATCTTGAAGGTTAAACTCCACCACAGTTCCTCCCAGCATCGTAACCAGTTTCTCCAAGTTCAGCTCGCTCCACAAGTGAAACGGAAGGCCAAATATCTTAAGTGAAAAACTTCCTGAGTGCTGTTCCAGTTCGTTACAGAGCAGTTTCCACTTCTGGAGCTGAAGCAAACCCAGTTCAGATTCAAAGGTGGTGAAGTCCCATTCTTCTTCACCAACATCGATTAAAGCTTCCCTATCAGAGAATGGTTTCAAAGCTATATTAGCCGAAGTGCCTAAGTTACAGGCCACTGTGTCCAGCAATTTCCTCCAGTTTTTCACCTCTTTAGTAGCTGTTATTACCATTCTCCTCTCCCAAATAGTTTTCTCCGCCTCAATTAAGAATCTCCATCGAACTGCCAAATATCTCACCACCAGAGGATGATCTCTGTTTTGGAACTTCTTGCACTTCCTCACTTCTGTCCACTGCTATCTGGGTCATGGGTTTATGCTCACTGGACACCTCCATGTTTGCATCCTGCACCTTTATCAGTCCACCAGCAGTATGTAATAGATATTTGTTTTTTTGATAAATCAGTATGTAATAGATATTCCTGTAACTTATTTGCAACCTCCAACCAGCCCTGTCCCTCCTTCCCTTCCGGAAAGCACACCAACTGCCTCCTATTATCAAATAGTTCAGTGACACTTATGAACCATCCTTTTCCATTCCTTCTCAGTTCTACTTCAAATCTCTTCCTATGGATTTCCAAAGAGTTCCTCCAACCTTCTTTCCTTACGGAAAATGTAACTCCATTGAGAAAACCTTTCAACCACAGTACTGCTGCATCAGTTAAAATTACTGTCACCCTTCTACCTTCTCTAATTTTCAGCTGGTTTCTACCTCCAGCCCTTCCAAGATCAAACAAGAATCACTTAGTCTCTACCTTCAACTCAGTTTTCCACCTGTTCACCTTCTGAAACATTCCTACACTTCGGCCTCTCTCCATCTTCACCAGTTCTCTGTGAAACGACTAATTGGTTTCCCTACCAAAGCACGCTTTTGACATAAGGATTCTGCCATGTCAATGTACTCGTTTCCTCCATAGTTCTTTCTAACCTATGGTTATTGATACCTGGATACCTATAAAAGGGTACCGTGTCATGTCAGGTACTTCAATTTTTGGTGTAAATTTCATATCCAATACCATGTTCTTGCTGCCATATCCAGGTGGCATAGCTTAAAAGACATTTTTCCTTTTAAAACTCATCACCATGGGACCCAGACAGTAGAACTCATCCAACCTTTTATTCATGAATTCTCATGTTTCATGTCCAAATGCTATTTAAATTTAAGTACTAGCACTTAGTTTTTTGTCTTCTTTGTAGAGGGTTTCCAACAAAGGAAGAAAAGGCAACTGTGACTTGCCTCCATTTTACATGATAACAATAAATTAATAAAAATTTTCCCAGAGGCAATCATGATGGTATACAATAATATTCTGATCAGTTTCATGTTTTGGGGACCAAGCATTTAGTTGTCCATTAAACAATCCAATAGAGGACTAATATTTTCATTTCCCTGGATTAGACCTAACTTATAACCCATTATTTATTGGATCATTTCCAATTGATGTCAGATGTTAATTAGGAAACTAATGAAAAACAACTAGTGTGTCCATGTGGCAAATAGGTAAAGGCTGTGGGTAGAACTTGTCAATTGTAAATTGTAATTTAACCATTTAAGATGTTATTGTTTGTATAATTTTATGGATTTTAAGAATAATATTAAAATCTGATAAAATTTGGTATACAATAAAATATTATTTATGTGAGAGTGAGACATGTCCATGAATCCCCCATTATTAGGCTTACTGAGTTTGGACTCCCAAATACATGTTAGATTCCAATTACGGTGTCCAAGTCCATGCAACATTACCTCCTATGAGATGACTGATAAGAAAATCCAGTAACACGAACACAATTTTTTTCATCAGCAGTAATACAAACACAATTTGAAACAATTAATAGCAAAAAAAGAAAGTTGGACCCCTTGGAAGACTGAGAATACCTATCAACCTAAATCCCATTCAACAGATAGAGAAGTTATGGTAGCAGATACTTACTGCCATGCTAGCAATATCCATTGCAGCCTCCCTTGTTAAGCGCAAGCCATGTGCAGCCTTCCTCACAGAAGCTCTGACATCAGCATCATATCCAACAACACCTGATGCAATTGCATCTTTCACAGCCTGCAGAATGATCATCACATGTATCAGTTCCAAATTTAGACACACACACACATGGAACTAAGGCATGCAGCACATCTGGTGAAGTAATATGAGACTCCATGTTACATATCAAAAACAAGATGAAATTGCAAGTGTTACTGCATAGTTAAAGATGACATAAAGCAAACTATCTTAATGTGCAGTAATCCTGTATTCCAATTTTTCTCAACAGAGTTTGTATTTTTTTTTTTTTATCAATAACATCAGCTTCATTAAATTAAAAGAAAAGAGGGAATATGGATACAAGAGGGGAGATAAAATATCTTAGCTCTCCAATAACAGAATACAAAGAGAAAAAAATAAAAATAGCCCAAAATACAGACCCCCTATTCACTCCTTGCTTGGCCAACCCATCCGCAAATGAGTTGGCACTCCTCTTCACCCAGCTGTACTGAATCTCAATGTCCCTACACAGCCATAAGAACTGTTTCTTTTCATTGTTAAAGTTCCACAAACCACTGTCCTCTTTCTTCAATCAGCTAACCACCACCTTCAAATCACCTTCCAGGATCAAACTCAATAGAGTATGTATCACTGTCCAAGAATGCAAAATAGCCTTTCTCTTCAGCAGAAAAGGCTACAACTCAACTTAGCCTTAATCCCAACTATTTGGGGTCTGCTAAACAAAGACTAATAAAATATATAATAGCAAATTAAGACAAATATTCTATGGACATCATTTTACAAGAAAACTCCATTTTCTGAACTTTCACCATATCCAAAACATGCTTGAGAGAACCATGGCTTTATGCAGAAATAACTTAAGCCAAATGACATCATGGCTTTATGCAGAAATAACTTAAGCCAAATGACATCATGGCTTTAGAAGAAGAGGTGCAGGTAGAGATTGTCCATTAGAAGGAGTGGACTCCTGAGTGCTAAACTAGTAAGATGATGTATAGAGTCTGGCACCTACACAGCACTGGACAATCATAACAAAAAGTGCTATAATCTTTCGATGGAAACCCATTTAGAGACGGAAGGAATGATGTCCTAAATACAATGCCTAGAAATGGATACTGAGTTACGGATACAAGCAAATACAGGAAACATGATATGACTCCATTTCCTAGACTCCCATATAAATATTATGTGCATGGTATCCCATGTAATATGCTCATATCATGTGTTTATATCTGGTTTTTGAAGTTAAAATGTCATTTTTCAAAGAGGAGATACAAACTGGAGTCTTTGAAGTGTGTGATGTGTGGCTGGAGGAATGATGTCCTAAACACAATTGTTTGTTTCCTATATAATTACTTTGCAAGCTCCTCCATCTCGGTGTCAGACACAGATTTCATTTTAATGGAGATATATAACAAGTTCAAGGGAAAGAAAAGGTGTGAAGGTAATCAAGAAAGGAGTTTTCAACCTCTCCACATGTGGGCCTAAGCAAAGCTACTGTGACAACCAGGACTCTTATTTAACAAATAAAAAGTTACATAGGATTCGGAGAGACTCACCTTTTCAAACAAGCCGCCACAAATATGTGCATGGGCTGCTTCAACAGTTGACTGAGGAATGCAAAGCATAACTCGGAGCCGCAGCAAAGCAACAACATCCTCCTCACTTAGTTCTCCATTAGCTACAGATTGCTGAAGCTTTTGCCTATAAATTTCTGATATGAAAATAGGTTTGTTATAGATCTGATATGGAACAAGACAATATCATGAACAGAAACTGAACCAGGTTATATGCTATTTTCATTTCTGTGATTACTCATCTATCAAATAAGAGTAAAACTTAAAATTTTCATTATAGTTAAAAGGTATATTGGACTGCTTCAAAAACATGGCTGATGCGAGGGCGAAAATATCTCTTCATGAAAAAAAAAACATAAAAAAGGAAAATAGTAAGAAAGCATTGCAATGCATATTTTCAAATGATTGATATAGGGTAGTATTAGGATTTGTTCAGTTGGTAACTCTTAGCAGAGTATTACACCACATCATACCTTCATGAATCTCACTGGCCTTCTCTGGATGAAAGTGCAACTGATCACATAGATTTTGTAGGTAGGCTGCTTTGCTATCTGCAGCTTCTAGTTCACCACTAGAAACAGCATGTGCAAGCTGTCTTCGGTATACCCTTGAGGTAACATCCACCATGATGGCTTCTGCCTCACGTTTTCCCAGACCAAATATGTTCCTCAAATGATTCAAAGACACCAACTACATGAAGAGAAAGAAAGTGGAACTTAATGGAGACATCAAAGAAGAATGTAGGTTTGCAATTAGTTCCTGGAAAAAAAATATATATGCATATCTTTGTAGCAGGCCTGCTTCTTATAAAGATAGGTGTATATGTTTCCTAGCATTAGCATGCAAATGGAAGATGCCAGGATAAAGTCCTAGATCATAGTTACCTAAGTGGGTTGGTCGTTCCAATCAACCTACTCTGCAATTAAAATATATTCTGAGGAAACTATGGGGCAAAATGTAGTATTGCTTGATCACTTAATTGTTAATTACTTTGTGTCAGGACACTGGTAATTTATTAGACCTTACAATTGGTATCTCCACCTTAGGAATCTGTTGGGTCAAAAATCAACCTCAATAAAACAAAAAATAATAATCTTTTTTTCAATACATGGAAATAGGAAAGGTTAAGAAGCACTGTTTACAAACGTTTCTTCTCTCTCTTTTTCTGATCGGTAACAAGATAAATAAAGTTATTAACAAAAAACCAAGAAGAAAAACAGTACAAGAAGAGAATTACAAGAAAGCCCACAACCAATCAAACAAACAATACAAGAAACACCATATGAGAGAACAACCACAAGGAGTCATACTAAGCCTCCCCTTGCCTTAAATGCTCCCTAATATGGCGAAGAACATACCCAATACAGCTGAGCCCTAGTATCCCCAACTCAAACCAATGAATGAGCTATGTCATTACAAAATCTCCTAATTCCCTGTATAATGATGGGCCCAAGGACCCTTGCTTCCTCTGTAATCCAAACAACCACCAACCACTAACCAACATTTTTCTTTTTTTTTTTCTTTTTGATGAATGACCACTAACCGACATTCCCCCTCAACCTCCACCCTAATACATCTAAGAGCAAAAGGGAGATGGCATTGCAAAATATGGTTATTTTCCCCAGCGGTTGGCGCTCTCAATCAGCTAATACATCATACAGGGTAAACTTTTGAAAGGGAATGATGAAGGTTTTAAATGATTTTGAGCCTTTGACCGACTTCGAAGCAGGTGATGGTGCAAGGATTGGAATTAGGGAGTAATGGAGTGATTTTGGAAAATTCTGTGAGCTTTTTCAATTATTCTATCAATTTTATACTCAGGTGGATCAAACGATGAGAGATTCATATGCTGTTAGTGGTGTTTCTGTGCTAAGCAAGGGGTTACTACCGATCATTTTGTTCTGGGCTCAATTGTAATCAGTTTTTTTGTTAAGTGAAAGTTTGCACCTCACAGATCATCCTTTTTTTTTGGTAACACTTCTGACTTGTGTTGGGATAATATAAAACTTCTGGTTTACTTTTAACAAAATTTATTTTTATCTATCAAAGAAAAGGTATTTCTGTGATGTGATTTCAATTCAGGTGAGACATGCCAATGTGATAAATTAACAATCAAAAAAGTTGGAGGACATAACAACTGCTATTTAGTCTCATCTTTAGGAAGAACGGAACACTAAACCTTCTAAGACTTTAAAAGAAAATGAAAAAAATCAAAGAAAAGGTATTTCTGTGATGTGAATTTCAATTCAGGTGAGACATACCAATGTGATAAATTAACAATCAAAAAAGCTGGAGGACATAACAACTGCTATTAGTCTCATCTTTAGGAAGAACGGAACACTAAACCTTCTAAGACTTTAAAAAAATGAAAAAAAAAATGAGACAAAAGTAATTACAGCCTGATTACTATTACAGTAGCATATAGGATGCTAACAACAAAAAGAGAGAAGAGTTCCATGTTGTGTCAATGGATGAAATCTTTTTTCTTGTGATTAATAACACTGTAGCAGTAAGAACTTTATTGATTATTATGATGGAAAAACTTGAGTGTATATAAAGAGAGCTTCAAGCCAATCAGAGAATAGGCTAGCATTGCTAAATATCCCACAGTCCCACTTTGAATATAATGTTTACAAATGCCCCCAAAATAACTGTTCCCTTGTCACCCCTTCTTTTGCCAACAAATCAGCTAAAACATTAGCTGATCTTCCCCATGTAGAAGTAAATTATCCTTTTTTTATTATATTAATTTTTTTTGTATCTAGGCTTGTGATGTAATCAGCATATATTTTTCAGATGTTTGGCCCCTGACAGTATCTTATTGAACAGGGCTTTGAACATGTTTTTGTTCAGCTATATATAATAATACATTACCTTTTTCTCAAATATAATGCTTTTTCCATCTTCCATTTTTCCCTCATCATATTTCTGTAATGCCATGCACATTCATTTGATTTTTTTTTCAATCACGCCATTTTAGAATCTCCTTCCACTATTAAATTTCTGAAGTGGAATGGTTTACATAACCTGAGTGCCCAAAGAACAGCTGGCATTGTACAGAAAACAAATATGAGGAGACAAACACCGAATAGTCTCCTCTTTTGGAAAGTTTCACGAGTATTAATCTTTAAATGAACAACATCCAAACAGAAGGCCCTAATTTTAGAAGGAACCAGGACACACCAGATTTCTTTGACAGGAAAAAGGCTGCAAAGAGATTCTGTAAGAGATAACCTTGAAGAAGAAAGAGAAAGAAAAAGTACCTGAGATGGCAAGAGTCCAAATTCTGCTATCAGGAATGAAAGGGTCCAAGAAGACCCCTTCAAGAAGGTTAAGAAGGTCAAGAACAGAAGTTTGGACTTCGGAAGTTTCAAAATCGCTTAGGCCTCTTCAAAACCCAAAATCCCAGGCAAGCCTGTTGATGGAGAACAAAGCAAAATAGGAGATAGTTCTTGCTTTATGGGCAGACAAGGAAAAGAGGGTTTGGACTTTGGAAGTGGTCTTTAAAAGCAAGACCACCATAGTAAATATCTTCTCAAAATCTGATTTTATTGCTAGAGAAAACATCATAATTGATAAAATATAGGACAGATGGAAGAATACTATGGATCGATTTCCATGTCAAAGGTGAGCTCTACTTGATACACTTGCATCCATCCATGTGGCGGATTCCCATGTATGCTACTCACCACATTTTTTTATCAGTGTATGCTACTCACCACATTGTGCCACAATTTATTCAAGTCCAATAGAAATCATCACAATTATATCCCAAGGAGAGCTGTATTTCTATTCACCATGTTCCCCAAACATAGACCCCATCCAACCTTGGTTTGCACACTACTTTCCATTTGAATAGATGCTCCTTTTGGTGTTCCCTAGCTCCCATAAGAAAATTCTCATAATCATCTCTATTCTCTTTGCCACCGATCAAGGGATTCAAAAAGCAAGAGGAAATATGCTAGGAGTATAACAAAGGCAGCCTATCTTTGTCTGAACATCCTATCTGAACAGAATTCTATCAAGAAATGACCTGTCTAGAAGAGGCATGCCCTTAACAGACACAAGCTATGTTTTCTCATGAAGGTTCATTAGTATCAACAGATCATCTTCTTCTCCATTGTACTTTTTTTTACTTCAATCAGAAACAGAGTTTTTGCTTAATTCAGGATTTTAGATGGCTCATACCAGGAAGGTTTGGCTCGAAAAGGCAAAGGTACTTGGAGTATAATACAGGCAGCCTTGTGTTTTTTTTTTCTTTGAAGGGTAAAAAGAAAATCCATTAAAAATAAAAAAGAAGTACAGCAGAAGGTGATAAGAAATCACCAAACAGCCTGAAAACCCACTCAAGAGGCCCAATAAGACCCAATACAAACACAACTTACATAAATGAAACACGACCAAACACCAAAAGAAAAACGAAAACGCAGACCCAAACAACCCCAAAAACAAGAGTCACAAGCCCGACATTAATCATAATAAATCTCCATTTCCTGAACCCTACATTAATCTTCATCTGTGAGCATATCTTCTTGGGTTGAAAAATCCTCGTCCCATGCCCCTTTTCTTTGCAAGATAGCTTTGTTTTTCTCTTTCTCTTCCTTTCTTCTTCTTTCAAATTCCTCGAAAGCTTTCCTAGCAAATTCCTAAACAGGCCCAAGCCTTTCCCAATCGTGACTTCTCTATCAACTATATTCTGTAATGTCACGCCTCTGGAATCTTCTTCAAATACATCAGAATTCTGCTGCCGCCAGACCACAGTAGAATCAGAACTGTCGATCCTCCTCTTGTCTTCCTGATTTTCCTTCGACATAGTGGAAGCTGGAGGCTGGGCAGGCATAGTCACCCCCCTATTATCAGGGACAGTCAACTTGTTACCTCTCCATCTTTTTCTTCTGTACAACCATTTGAAAATTTTTGTAGGTCCTGCACCTTCCATGCCAAGCTTTATCCTTGAAAATATGTTTGTCACATGAACAATATTGTGATTTGTGAGATCTTGAGTTGTTCATTTTCTTGTTAATTATCCCATCAGTCTGACCCTCCTCCTCTTCAATGTTACTTCTTCAACCCAAAGCAACACCCAACCTTCTAACCTCAACCTCCTCACCTTCTTCAACCTGCCCTCCACTGTCATCATCACAGGGGATTTCTTTACCCTCCACCTCATCCCCAATCCCAACCCAGCCCCACTACCAATGCTCCTTTCCCTCCTTCCCCTTCCAGCCTCACAGACTCAACTGGGGCCACAACCTCTCGAAGCAGCAAAGCTGGGCTTTCAGAGGGGCAGCTTGCTCCTACAAACTCCGGGTAGGGTTGTCCATGAGGTATTTTTGAAAAACCGAAGGACCAGTTTGGTTTTCGGTTAACCTACAAAAAAACGGCGGTAACCGAACCGACCGGTATATATATTTATATGTATATTTTATATATATTTTTAATATATGTCAAATATTTTCTATATATTATATACAAATATACATTCATTATAATATATACATATATACATATATTATATTTATAATAATCTATTTATAAATATATTATATATTTTTATAATATTTATAATATATTATATATCATTTATTATTTATAATATAATATTATACATATATTTATATAATATATATTACAAATATAAAAAACTGAAAAACGAAGAACCAAACCGGTCAAAAACCGAAACTGACAGACCGGTTAACCGGTGGTACCAGTTCGGTTTCGGTTTGGAGAAGTGGAAAAACTGGTGGTACCGGTTCGGTTTACAAAAATTGCCCATGGTTCGGTTAACCGAACCGTGGATAGATACATGTTTTCCATCAAACTCCTTATTGACCAGAGAGAGGAGGCCAGCAATGTCAATAACAAAAGGTAGAACATTGTCGAGAAGCTTACTAGGACCATTTATGATCCTCTTCTTACCACTTTTGTCAAATCTGGCTATTAGCCAAACCCACCACTTTTCCTTTTCTTCCCTAGCCTCTACCACAAATCTCTTTGTTGCTCCGTTTCTCTTCAGCAAAGGTTTTAAAGGCCCTAAGAGTCTCCTCTTGCCGTCCTTGAAACGATTTTCCTTCCTGCCCCACACCAAGGCCGTATTAACAGCTTGGTCACCTCTTGACCTACCTAAAGACATAGAAGAACCTTTTGGATAGGATCCCTGTTTTGCTTCCGACCGAGGGTTATCAGATTCGATATAAGACTCTTGAGTATCCCTTCTAGAGGCTAACTCGTCGGGACGATCTGACAAGTTGCTAAAGTCCCTCAGCATTCCATCAGGTTCGGAGCTGACCCCCGTGGAACCCAACCAAAACTCTTCACCTACTTTCCCGACCCTTCCTCTTCCATGCTGGAGCCACCTTTCAAGTTACCCTTCTTCCATACCTGTTTTTCCATCTGGCCTCCACCCTGCCACATCAGCTTCGTCTTCCTCCTCTCAACCTACCCCCCAAAGTGACACTTCATGTTCCGTTGCAATACAAACCTTTGTCCAGGCCCCATTCAAGAAAACGTTGAGGGCACACGGAATCTCCTCCGGCTTCACTCCAGCAACGAGAGCCATTACTGAACTGAGCTTCGAGGTGTTGCAGGAGATGAGAACACCACCAATCACCGTCACCATCTTCTCCACCATTGTCGTCTCCCAGAGATTGAAAGGAAGCCCATATAATCTGATAATGAAAATCCCGTAGTGAAAATCCTTGCTGTTGCAGGAAATTGTCCAGATTTGGACCCAGATAATGCCTGAATCCGATTCGAATCTATCAAAATCTATTATTTTATCTTCGACAACCAGAACAGCAAGTCTTCTGTCAAAATGGAAGACAGAGACCCTTGAACTAATTTGCATTTTTTTCTTTAATCTACACAAGATATTACCCCAATCCTTGACGTTCCTTTCAGCTTTCAAAATCAATCCTCTCCAGTCCCCCTCTGTTTCCTTCCATCATCAATTTTTGCACTTTGATGGCGCCACCCACTATAACTTCCTGTTTGACTCTTTATTTGGTAAAGTCTTGAAATTTTTACCTCCGGCCAAACCCTCAGCCATCCTCCATAGAAAACCTTGAAGACTCTGAGCAACCAATCTCCAGCTCAACCCCTGCTTTCCTTCAGGAAGGCAAACCAGTTGTTTCTATTCTTGCCAAATACCTCTGTCACAGCCACAAACTGTCCTTTCTGATTGGATCTCAAGATCACCTGATACTTTCTGCATGGACTTTCCAAAGAGCTCTCCCACCCATTGATCTTCACTGAAAAAATCACTCCATCAATGAAACCTTTCAACCACTGCGTGGCTTCTCCAGTTAAGAAAATAGTTGCTCTTCCTTGATTTCTTAGTTTCAGAACAACTTGATCCCTACCTTTTTCTTCTTCTAGAATCAATTTCTTCGCCTCAATCGTGTTCACCGTTCTCAATGGAACCAGAGCACTATCTGCAAGCCTGCAACTCTGTCAACTATTTGCACAATGAGAAAACCAACTAAGCTATACTATCTTCACAGCCTGCCTCACAACTCTGTTGAATGGTTTCTACATGAGCGCTGCCATGTGTTGAGGAGTTGATTGTGCTTGCATGGTAATGTTTATGCCAAAAGGACATCCAGGGACCATAATTTCAGCTCTCCCTTCCCAAGCGGCACAAGATAAGGAAATTTCCTAAATTGGAAAGTATTCCTTGGGGTATGCCAGAGCCAGGCAGCCTTGTTATGGATAATTTGGCAAGAAAGAAATGGAAGAATCTTCTGCAATTGACTTTGCTTTGCAGATACAGTTTTCAGATTCAATATTTGACTGATATTCAGAAGATCTCTAAATTTAGTTAGATTTGAATGTTTTCTTTGTTAGCAATCATGCCTTGTTAGATAACACCATAGCATCATCCAGAAATGGTTACACTACATGATATAATTTGGATATATCAAATGATTCTTTCTATTTTTATCTGGATAAGTCAAACGGATTCTCTTTTAAACCATATTTACAACATTTTCCCCTTTCATCCACTTTTTATCAAAGAAATCTCAAGTGAGCTTATAAGGAGTTGAAGGTTTGAAAGAAGTCCTACATTCAAAAAGATAGATATATGAAACTTAGTTGTGCAAGGATTGAACATACTCTTATTCCTGCAGTTTTAGAATATAAAAAAATGAAGAAAAAAAAAAGAAAAGAAAAAAGTTTCTTCAGACCTTTTTGTCTTCCATGCAGCCACCCGAAAATGATTCTGTCACATATGCTCTATAGAGGAGCTTCAAGTCATCTATCTTTCTGTCACCATCATACTCACCACCTAAGACAGAGACATGCCAACTTCAACACATTCTTTATGGACATGAAAACTCTATGCTCCATGAAAACTGTAAACTTGAGGTTTCAATTTTGTAGCTATGATGCGCAGATATCAACATAATGTAAGGTGAAACAGGGATAATACTTTTCATTTACCAAATTCCTCAACTACATTAGCACCATTCTTTAACCTGCATATTGTGTTTGTTAAACAAAACAGGCTAGTTTTAGCATTTCTGTCAACTTAATTTTATCTATGCCATTATATTTTTGTTTAATAAAAGAATTAAGAGAGTTCTCAGGGACTGAGAAATAACTAAAGATACAATAGAAAATAAAACAAAATGATAAAATTATAAATTATCTATAAGGTAACAGTACTAGCATTAATGTAGTATTTTAATTTGGGTAAAATAAGCATGTTTAAGCATTTGGATACAACAGGTTTAAAATAGCAGCTATACCTAGTAAAGAAACAGGTCCAATGCCAGGGGCAAAGCAACCGGCATCAGAATGGTTACTCAAGGACATGAGCAAATTATTAAATTCCAGAATCTTGTCAAGCTCTTCCACAATTTGTGTTGCTCCCTTCCTGGAAAACAAGGTTTTGTTAGTGGAAGAAATATTAATGGAAGCCAGAGTCCAGAGAGGATAATATTAATTTGCAACTCATTTGATGCAATAATTTCATGAACAGAATTGCATAAGGCAATCTTCTCATTTTCTAGAACAAGAACATCTGCCGAATCTCATGACATGCAAGTATTTAGAAGTTGTTCTAACCAACTAATAATTATCATACACTGCTCTAGTCCTGGACTTCAAGATTTCAAGTGCCCTTGAAAGGTTTCCCTCCACAATTTTTCTTGTATGATCTCTGAACATGTCAATAGCAAGCTGAAACGAACAAAAGCCCACCAAATGAATAAAGGCTTCTAAACTATCAATTGTGTCCAATATCTGGTAATTAAGATCCTAAAAATAAAGACCCTGAGCACATACCTCATCAGAAAGACGATATAGAAACTGTGCTTCTCTCAGACTACGGAGTTGTTTCTCATCAATATCTAGCCAAAAGATTCAAATTCCATTAGCACCTAAGAATTGCAAAAAGAAACATGACTGCAAACATGAAAATGCACACACACATAAGAGTAGTTAATCAAATGCTGCTCATCAATATGAAAATAGAAAATAATATAAGCACTTATTAAGTGAGAAAACTCAACTATATCCAACATGACCAGAAAACACACACAACAATGTGCTATATTTTCTTGACATGTCCTTGAACCTGCATGCATCCTGTATGCATCGCGCTTTTGTTAATTAAATATTTTTTCTACCTCAAAAGCCTTGATACGTATACATCAGTAGATATTAAAAATATGGTTCAAAGGGTAACTTCCAAATTAAATATTAAGAAAAAAAGCATTCACCTTGTACCTAAAATTTTCAGAAAGGTATAAACAAATTGGATTGTGAAGACAATAAAGTGCACAAAGTAGTTTACTTATCACTGTCCCTGCAACCCCAAAAAACAAGTGGTTGAAATTCTCGATCAATATGAGAGTCATAGTTGTCAAGGCAATGCCTAGGCGACAAGGCACCCTTGGAGGCTCGCCTCACCCAGTTGCCAAGCAGTTTTGCATACTGTGTAATAAAGTACTTTTATATTGTTATTTTTTTGAGATTATAAATATAAAATAGACATTATTAAAGAAAAATATTCATTTTTGTGTTTATAAACTAATTTCTTTTTATTATTTTCTTATTTGTTGGGGTTTAATCAACACAAACATTGCTAACTGCTGTATTGAACCCTCAATGACTTCAAAATCAGAACCAATAAGGGAAGAACTTAAAATTTTGTCTAATCAACACATTTCTTCCACCTTTTCTTTGCTTCTTTTGCTATAACAAAAATAGGGGTTCAGCCCCTATATTTTTTTAATTTTCTTTCCTTTCTTCTTTTTCTTCTCATAAATATGTTGATTTTCTAGACTTAAACATGAAGTTTATAATTTTCATAGAAAATTATGGATAGTTATTAAAGAAAGTTGGTTATAGAACCTAGGGAACTACCCTAGGATATGTGATTATTACTTAAAAAAAATCCATCACCTAGGTGACTAGGCGACAAGGCACCCCCCTATGATGTGAGTATTCTTTTTGTGATAGGCAACAAGAGAGAATTTGAGAACTATATCTAGCTCTGACAATTATTAAGCATGTATGTTTTTCTTTTGATAATTGATTACTAAACACATGTTTGATCCAGGCTCTAAGCTTCTGAAACCCCAACTTGCAATACATTAATGTGTCATCTGAAATTCTAAATCTTCCAATAACTATAGGATTCAAATTCACTATACACAACATGTTAAACATAATCAACCATGTGATTCTGCCCAATCTTTACTCATCCATGCCCTCTGATTAGAAAATAACATCACAGCCATCTATTTACAATAAATGAAATGAGACCCCTTATTAAAAAATCTGCTTCCCAGGCTTCATACTAAATTTTCTCAGATAATACTGTAACAAGCACAAATGCACAACCTAACAAGCCCTTCTAATTCCAAGGGAATAAAGCCCTTTGTGTAGGCATCTCTCTTCCAGTAAAATCTAGGTTTTTTCTTGGTTGTGTTGGTTTTTCATCAGTGACATGATAAAAGGAAGTTGTTGAAATAACTTAGTTTATTTTAAGTTTAGTGCCACAAGGGCACCTTTGTAATTTTCTCTTCTTTTTTTCTGTATGGTCGTCCTAGTATAAATACCAATTAAACTGACGCTGCCAGTTGACTTTTTGGCCTCTTTCAATTCTGCCTCTCTTCCCTCTTTTCTCTCTTCTCCCTTCTCCTTCTTCTCTTCTCTCTGTTCTGGAATCATACCATCTCAGCACCAAGAAAAAATGGTATCGAACCAAAGAACAAGATCTGGTGGATGTGTGAGGAAGCTCACTGCAAGACTGTTCCTTTTCCTTGGTTGTGAGCCCAGAAACTATCACAAAAAAAAAAAAAAAATCAAATGCTGTGAGTTTTTTTTAGCTTTCCTTCCCCAGTTTGTGGATCGAACTGATCCTTTTTGTACCCAGATGTGTGGGTTATGTGGGTCTAATGACCTGCGGCTGGTGTGAGAGTGTTTTCTCTCATTGTATGTGGATCGAGTGATCCTTATTATGCCCAGAAAGGTGTTATTGCTTCAAGACTACGGATCTGTAACTGCTGTGATGACGGCAGTTTATTTCCTTCTTCTATTCATATTGAACCTAAGTTACTGTGTGAAAGCTGTTTTGTTGCTAGAGGGAATGGTCAGATCTGTTTTTTGATATACCTTACACATCTGAAATAGTGTGTGATCAGTCTGAAAGGGTTCAGTAGAGCCAAAATCTAAGGACAGTAATGGTGTGTGACCAGCTGTGATTTCCTTGTGTGAGAACAAGTTTTTTTTTTTTTTGTGTCCAGAAGTGTGGCTGAACTGAAAACTTGATCAGATTGCTGCAACCTGGTTTTTTTACTGTACTGTGGGTCCGAACTGAACTGGAAAACTTGTTCTCTAGCTGGTTTGTGACTGATCCGATTTAGCTTCTATGTCTTCAGAAGATTCTGGTATGTCTAGTGTTACCTCTAGTCAGAGTGGGATGAGCGGAGGTTTTGACATGAGTGAAATCCCATGGCTGTGATTCCCTTTGATGGCCTCAATTACCTAGAATGGTCAAGGGGAATCAAGCTTTACATAACTGCAAGGGGAAAAGCAGGATATATCAATGGCAGAATTAGAGAACCCCAGTCTAGTGGTGTGGAATACGATAGGTGGGACTAGGAAAACAGCATGGTGATGTCATGGCTGTTATTGTCTATGCTGCCACAAGTGAGAAAGACCTTCATGTGGGCAGAAACAGCTCATGAGATATGGGAGCAGGCACAGTTAACATACTCCGAACAACGGCATTATGCTAAAATATATCAGTTGCAGGCTGCCTCCTCAACTTGTAAACAAGGGGAGAGGAGTCTCTCCGTCTACTATTCAGACCTCACTTCTGTTTGGAAGAAACTAGATCACTATCAGAATATAGACTGGAAGTGTGATGCAGATGCCAAAGCATACAAGTCTCTGGCTTCCCAGCAACGAGTGTTTGCCTTTCTCTTAGGGCTGAATCCCATATCTGAATCTATTAGGGTTCAGATATTGGGGGGTAAAGACCTCCCATCAATACAAGAAGTATTTGCTCTAGTGCAGTCAAAAGAGAGCAGACGGAATGTAATGAATAATCCTGAGGGAGAGCATGCTATTTTAGCACCTAAAGGGAGTGTAGCTATGGGTAGTGGAAATTCCTTCAAGAAGAGTGACTTCCAGAAGAAAGTTGATGACAAAGATAAGTTATGGTGTGCACATTGTCAGAAGTCTAGGCATACTCGGGAGACATGTTGGGAGCTTCACGGGAAGCCAAAGTGAGCTCAGGAAATGAGAAAAAAGCCGGATCAAAATAAGAAGCCAGGACAGAAAGGTCAGAGAAAGTTTAATGCAACAAATTTAGCCTCTCAAGAGCCTCGATCATCTACCACCACTGAGTCCTTCCAGGACTAATCTGAGGGAAGATATCATTAATTCTTTCTGTGACCATTTAGAGTTGTATGGGAGGGCAATCCATCAGATGGATTCTGCTTCTCCACCCTCGACTTCCTTTGCATCTACATCAGGTAACGGTAATTCTGGCACAGCTTTCCATGTGTCCTCTCATCCCTCAGACTCCCCTTGGATAATAGATTCTGGAGCTTCAAACCATATGACAGGTAAGTCCAATTGTTTTCAATCTTATCATCTATTATCTGGTCGGGACAAGGTGAGACTTGCTGATGGTTCTTTCTCCACCATAGCTGGTCAAGGAACCATCTCCCTTCCTCTTGGACTCACCCTCTCTGATGTTCTACATGTTCCTAAACTGCCCATAAATTTGTTCTCTATTAGTAGTATAACAAATTCGTTGAACTACTCAGTAACTTTTTTTCCTTCCTCTTGTATGATACAAGATTTGGCCTCGGGAAAGACGATTGGTAGAAGTCGTATGGTAGATGGTCTTTACATGCTGGAGAATAAAGCTTGTCTTGCGGCTATTGAGTCTAAGAGTCTATCTAATAAGAGTCAAGTCCTTTCATGGCACAGTCGTTTGGGTCATTTATCTTTTGAGTCATTGAAAGTTTTGTTACCATATTTATTTAAATCAGTGTCAATGTCGGATTTCACATGTCAAACTTGTCAGTTGAGCAAACATTGTAGAAATTGCTTTACCTGAAGAAATAATAAATATGATTTTCCTTTCTATATTGTGTATTCTGATGTATGGGGCCTTGTTACTTTAACAACCGAGTTTGGCTATAGATATTTCATTACACTTATTGATGACTACTCCCGATACACATGGGTGTAACTATGCGGTCCAAAGATGAAGTACCAAAAATCATTAAAGATTTCCAACGCTTGATATTCACTCAGTTTCAAACGGAAATCCAAATTTTCCAATCAAACAATGTCAAAGAATATTTCCATAGTGATCTCACGGAGTTCTTTGCTTCATGTGGATCTATACACCGTAGCTCTTGCGCTAGAACCCCCCAACAAAATGGTGTTGCTGAAAGAAAGAATCGTCATTTCCTTGAAGTTGTTTGTGGGTTACTTATACATGAATGTTCCTAAATGTTTCTGGTTGGATGTTGTATTGTGTGCTACCTATCTCATCAACTGTATGTCATCTCGCTTGTTAGGGTGCAAGGCCCCCCATCAACCGTATGTCGTTCCTTGTGTCTTCTTGGGTTATCCTTCTTCCCAAAAAGGCTATTGATGTTTTGATCCTATTTCCAAGAAGTACCATGTCCCTATGGATGTGTCTTTCTTTGAAAGTGATCCTTTTTTCCCGGTTTCTCCTCGGGGGGGAGTAAGGTGGAAGAGAAATCAGTTCAAGTTCAGGTTCTTCCTCCTTTGCCTGACCCTCCTCCATTCCGTGTTTTTCATCGTTGCAAGAGCTAGCTAAATTTAAGAGTTGTGGAGCAACTTGAAACCGTACCGCCAACATCGTCAAATTCACTAGGGACAGATCATATCCAACCAGGTACTATCATTCCTATTGATACTCTTAATCCTCTTGCCATAGATATTCCATCTGGTGATGACCTTGACATTCCTATTGCAAAAAGGAAGGAAGTTAGGTCTTGTACCACCAAGTATCCTATTACCCATTTTGTTACCTATGAGAACATCTCACCCTCCTTTCGTATTTTCATTTCTTCCATTGACAATGTCCCTATCCCAAAAAATGTGATAAAAGCTCTCTTAGTACCTGAATGGACAGATGCAATGAAAGAAGAGATAAATGCCCTAAATAAAAATGGTACGTGGGAATTAGTGAATCTTCTTGAAGGTAAGGAACCGGTAGGGTGCAAGTGGGTGTTCACAGTGAAGCACAAGACTGATGGCACGATAGAAAGGTACAAGGCTAGGTTGGTGGCGAAAGGGTTTACCCAGGTATATGGTGTAGATTATGCAGAGACTTTTGCCCCAATAGCCAAGATGAACTCCATTAGAGTCCTTTTCTCCCTTGCAGCAAATCTTGATTGGGATCTTCATCAGTTAGACATTAAAAACGCCTTCCTGAATGGAGACCTTAAGGAAGAGGTGTACATGGTCCAACCTCCTGTCTTTAGTGCCCAAGGCAAAGAGAAAAAAGTGTGCAGACTAAAAAAGTCTTTCTATGGTCTGAAGCAATCTCCGAGAGCCTGGTTCAGCAAGTTTCATCTGGCTATACAGCAGATTGGCTACAAACAATATTAGACTGACCATACCCTATTTGTGAAAAGAGGGGAAGGAAAGATTGCAGCCTTGATAGTGTATGTTGATGACATAGTGATCACAGGTGATTGGAAGGCTGAAATTCAAAGACTAAAAGATTTCTTAGCCACTCAATTTGAGGTGAATGATTTAGGTCCCCTTCGATATTTCCTTGGAATTGAAGTGGCCCGCTCTCAAAAGGGGATCTTCATTTCTCAAAGGAAATACATCCTAGATCTGTTACAGGATAGAGGAAAATTAGGGGTTAAGCCAGCCGGCTCTCCCATTGATCCAAATCATAGACTGTGTGACTGTTGTGGTGAAGTTGTCAAAGATGTAAAACAATTCCAGAGACTTGTGGGAAGGCTCCTACATTTATCCATGACCAGGCCAAACATTACTTATGCAGTAAGTGTTCTTAGTCAGTTCATGCATGCTCCTAAGACCACACACTTAGAAGTAGCAAAAAGAATACTCAGATACCTAAAGAGGTTTCCTGGAGCCGGTTTGTTATACCAAAAGAATGGTCATTTGAAGATTGAAGTATATACAGATGCTGATTGAACTAGATCAGTTGATGACAGAAAGTCTACTAGTGGGTATTGTTCCTTTGTGGGAGGAAACATAGTCACATGGAGAAAGCAAGAAACAAAATGTGGTGGCTAGGTCTAGTGCTGAAGCTAAATACAGAGCAATGTCCCATGGGGTGGCTGAAGGCATGTGGATAAAGAATCTGTTGAACGAACTGGACTTTCCTGTTGATGGCCCTATGTCCTTGTATTGTGATAACAAGGCTGCCATCAATATTGCAGCCAACCCAGTTCTTCATGATAGAACTAAGCATATAGGCAAACACTTCATTAGAGAGAAAATTGTTAATGGAGAAGTGTGCACCCCATTTGTGAGTTCCAAAGTGCAACTGGCAGATATATTTACAAAAAGCTTACATCACTCGCGAACAATGATTTATGTGACAAGTTGGGCATGATTGATATCTACGCCCCAACTTGAGGGGGAGTGTTGAAATAACTTAGTTTATTTTAAGTGCCGCAAGGGCACCTTTGTAATTTTCTCTTTTCTTTTTTTCTGTATGGTCGCCCTAGTATAAATACCAATTAAACTGGCACCGCCAGTTGACTTTTTGGCCTCTTTCAATTCTGTCTCTCTTCTCCCTTCTCCTTCTTCTCTTCTCTCTATTCTGGAATCATACCATCTCAGCACCAAGAAAACAGAAGTTTTATTGTTGTATTAGAAACCCCTCTTGTCATAATAGCAAAGGTAAAGGCATTACACAGCATAATCAAGTGCACTAAAGAAACAGCAAAAACTGACAAAAGCCAGCATGTAGCTGTCCCCACAAAAAACAAAAACCAGAATCAGGTTTGGAGATGCAGCCCACAGCCAGGAACCCTCCATTCAAGTTGCAACTTCCAACCTGCCAAGACTTTCTCTGGCTAACAAATCATCCAAAGAATCAATAGATCTTTAGACCCACCCGAACAACCCACTCAGTGTAGATGCTAGTGCTTTGACTTCTCTTATGGGGAATCTGAGTTGCCAAGGGCCTTTTTCAATTGAAGACATCCAACAATGACCACTAGACAGCCACTTTCAATTATTACATAATTCCAGCCAAACAAGAATACCAGTTTAAGTACTTATAGAAGTATTATCAGCTTTGCTTCAAGGGAGTTTCCATCTCACAATGGACCTGAATAATTGAGTAGTATAGATCCTTCTTGCTTTCTGAGGATTCTGGATTGCCTAATTAGAATTTGTCAGTTTTGAGTTTCATTAGTCCTCCACTCCAAGCAAGAGGAGCACAAGTCCTGTACTGCAGAAGACCCACCACTACTTGCCATCCTCATAATATAGAATCCATAGGAACACCCCTGAATTCCTCTAACATAAAATCCATATTGACACCTTTAAAGCAATAAATTAGTTTTCTTTACTTCTGGTTCTGGTTACACTTCAACCGAAGGATTTTTGCCTCCCTGGTTTGCATTGTTGAGGTTGCTCAACTTTCCTGGCTGGATTCCTGCAGGGCCTTTGCATCTCTCCTGTCTTTCTGTTTGTCAAAGTCAATCAGTGTAATCAAATGAAGAAAAGGTGCATCGCCTTTTTAAAGCGAAAAGAATATAAATATATCAAACAGGAAACTTCTTGACAACATCCATTCTGTCTTTGACAACATATTATTTATCTTTATGTCTGTAATTGCATAAAATTCCCTGCATGAAAGTATAATGAAGCATTAAAGTGAACAGAGAAACTTAAAAGTATCACATCAACATTTTCTATACATCTCCATACTTTTAACAAGAAGTAATCCATTTTTAACAGACGTAATCTACGTGGAGAAGGTCTGATTCACTCATTGACATCTTTTCTTGATTGGTAATCAACTAATCAATAGCTTGGGCAAACATTAAAAAAGCAGAAATGGAGCAAGACCCAAATCCATGTTCACTGACAAAAACCATTGAAATAATTAGCATGATAGCATCAACCGTTATTTCATGAAAAATCCATAGGTCACCTGAGCCAACTGATTCTAGCTTGGATAAATACAATCTCTGGGCATTGTCCCGAATAGCAACCTCAACCTGGAAAATGGAAGAATTATAACCTGTTTTTTATTTATCAATATAACCTATAAGGCAATTAGCTGGCACAAAACTACAAATTAAGGGAAAAAAAAAACTTGGAATAAAAAATTAATTAATCCACATTTAGAAATTAAATCAGCATGCACTTTAAAGTCTTGATCAGCATTCCAAAAAGCAATGTGAAGCTTATGATTTGAGGCCTGCCTTAAGGTCAAACACAAGGAAAATATCAACCTTGTCGATAATGCCTTGAAGTATGAAATGTGTGCCCCAAACTGGAGATGAAGGTCAACATATCTTATGTCAGCCAAAATCAGGTTATCATCAGAAGAATGGGTTAAATATTTAGTTTTGAATATAATTGTTTACTATTGTGTCTAAACATTTTATTTATAACTTCATATCTAACAATTTCTAAAACCCTATTTTAATCAGCAATAGTAATCAGTATTTCATTTATATAGCATATAAAGAAATCCAAGCATTTCAAAGTTCTTGAAATCCAAACCAACTCTTCCTTATTGGCCCTGCCCTAGCCAGAGTATCAGCCATCCAATTTGCAGATCTTGGGCCCAATTTGAAACGAGCAATTCATGCTGACAATTTTTTTGCTTCTCTCAGCAGAAATCTAAGGGGCCATGGACCATCCATCATGGTTGTAAACCATCTTATCACCACTTCATAGGGATCTTCCATATCAAATCATAGTAGCCCATTTCATCAATGTAGTTTTTCTCCACAACTTTCATAGTCATCATTCATTACACTTGAAATCCACAGCTTCCATGGCATTCTGGTATAAAGTGGTAATTAAGTATCATCGCTTTCCAATGTCTAAGCTAACGAGTATTAAATATTAATAGAGGGGATCTTAACATCTTATCTTCCATTATAAATGAAACTATGAAGTCTTTTATACATCTATCCACATATTGAGATATCCTTCATTGAATAAAATATTTGTCTACTTAGTTCTCACTCTAAACATAGTGAAACCTTGTGAAGCTTCAACCTTAGACCTTGAGGGTTATACTCACACTTCTAGTGGTCCTAGCACTTCATTGCAAGCTTGAGCATCAGTGACCAGTTCACGTATAAAGTAGAGCAAGAATACAACTAATTACCATTAATTACCTGAGCATCAGTGACCTTAAATACACGCTTCCAAGGCAAAAGAAACGTTGAAGCTTCTCCAAACACAAGTGTTGACACATATATTAACTTCTGAAATGCCTGCACTGGAGAATCACTAAATATGGTCAAGCTTTTTATTCCACAGAGTGGATCTGTTTTTTTTTTTTTTTTTTGTTTTTTGAAACAGGTAAAGTACATTTTTTCATACACAGAATGGATCTAAACATTTTGCAAACTACATCATATATCATATATTAATCCCCTAAATATTCTGCCACTAGATGCATCAAATTCATTTCAACTTGCAAAGGGACTTGTAAAAAACAATTAAAACAAAAAACAGGCACACATTTTTAGCAAGTATCCTACCCTTCGCTGTTCTATGTCAGCATCACGATCACCAGTTTCGAGCCTTTGCCTGAAAATATATCTCCCAATCTATTGGTCCAACAAGAAAATTTAAGTCAAAAGATGGTTAAAATTCAACTTTTTGCTAGAAAGATTATGACTATCATAGTTAGATTCCTTGTAAAACAAGGTGAATTGGAACTTGGCATACCTCCATATGCACAGCAGCTGCATCCGGGTCATCAATGCCAAGGGCACTTTTAAATTTGATAATTGTTTCTACTTCATTGCCTTTGAGGTTTTCACCTCCAGGTGGAAGAACAGAAGATACAAACCTGAATGAGAAGGGAATGTTTGATTTCAATGGATTGAAAGGCAGGCTTCCAAAAAGATATCCGTCAATAAATGCAAGATTACTGAGCATATACCAACAGTCATATCATTCAGGAAAGTAAAATGTAAGATTTCATTTTTGACAAGGGCATAATATAACCTGATGCATGAAGAAATGCAGATGGAAAAGAAAGAACATTAAAAACATTCTTGGACACTTCTGTGGGTTACACCAATGTTGTTGTGTTATTTTAAGAGATATTTGAAATCTTCCTAACTTTTTTTGCTTTAGAAACATAATAAATATGACAGTGCTTAGTATATTCTGGGTTTACTATTTCTAATATATTTCAGATTTACAATTTAGAGTAAACTAAGACTTGCTACTTTCCCTAACTTCTGGATTTCAAACGAGGATTTAGGTCTTGTCCACATATTAGAAGGATTGGAGATAAGAAGTCAATATTTATTATTTTCAGTATGTATAGGTGATGTGGTGCAAGTATGTATGACTTGCATAGGAAACTACTGTTAGGAACTGCCTAACCAGGGTCTTTTCGAGGAACCACCCTCCTGAACAGAGATGAAGATGATAGGAAGGGAGAACTCAGATATGTTTTTCCATGCCTTCCCTATACATAAACCCACCCTTATATACACATCATTACAATAGAACCATTTCGGTCAGGCTTGGGGATCTGCACTAACTAACTTCTGCTGTCATGGATGACATAGCCTCCTGCTAAAAACCAGCTGTCCTGTAGCTTTCTCACATGAGCTCTCTGCTCCTATGTCCTCTGGGCCTGCCTTAAGGGGTTGGGCCGAGTTGGGCCTAAATACTACACAGTAAGCATTTTTAAAGCTAGAAAATAAATGTCTAAAGGTTTATGAAGCTCATTGGGAAGGAGAAATTAGGATTATAGGAGAATCAAAGAATATTAAGTTTAGAAATATTTAAGAGAGATTTAATACAAAGGGATTCTGACAAGGTTTGACACAAAAAGGCCGACAATTCTAGTTTGTTAGAGAAATGAAGAGATTTCTTGGTAAGCAATACCAAGGTTTGATTAAAATTTTCAAAATTCATTCCTAGTGGTGATGTTTAGGAGGTCATAGGATGGGGGTGGATGGCCCCCAATGATGACTTGCTCTAGGATTTTGTGAGACCTTGGTTCTAGGAGAGTATTTAGGGATTATAAAGTTCCTTCCATACTCAAAATTGGCAAAATCCCTAAAAGGAGTTTCTTTTTCAGAACCCACCAAACCCAACTGTAGAGAGGTTGGTCCCCTAAGCATTCATGATCATTTTCTTGTGCCTCTTTCTTTTAAGCTCCCACTTCCCAACTTAATTCACATGTCTTTTCTGGCTAAAGAGATCTTGAGTAGACTAATGCCTCCAAAAGTGAAGACCTTTTTTTGGGAGGTTAAGCACCTAAAAATCAATATTTGTGAATTACTTTGGAGCAAAAGCCCAAAGTGATGCTTCCCCACATACATCTGTTTCCTTTATAACATTAGCAAAGAAGCTACATATCATCTACTATTCTCCTGTCCATTTGTGAGTTGTGACGTAATTTAGTAGTGGTTCTTTGCTCTTTTGGTTGCAGCCAGTGGCCTGCTTTGGACTTGGAAAATCTCTTCAAAACCTCCTTCTTCAACTCATTCAAGAAAAGAGGCAAATTTATGTTAAGAAGCACAAGAGTAGCAATACTTTTGTCAAATATGAAGAAAGAAATCAATGAATTTTCAATCGAAAAGCTCATAAGTGAAATGCTTTAATTGAAGGATCACAATGAAGTATTTCATTACTTAAAATCATGAGTATCTATAACCTTGTCTATGTGAAAGACATCATGGGTTGACATGGTTCACAAAATAGGCAATACTTAGTGAAATTTCCCCAAAATATCCCCATTTTTCTAGGTAGTGATAAGAAATTGCTGAAAAATTATATGGTCTCTGATAAGGGGTGATTTGGCCCGACCTCATAATTGGGTGACACGTGTACGTGACTCGACATAAACGACAACTCGACATGAGCAAATCGGCACGTGGACATGACTCGACGCAGGTGACAACTCAGCAAGTATTAGCTCGCTACAGAACAAGCTCGAGTACACTAATGTCCCAAGCTGAAGGTACTTCGGGTTGAGTCCATCCCAGTTCACGAACTAAAACAACAGCACCAAGTTCTCAGCAGTCCGAACCCAAGCAAGTGGGCCACCTCGAAGACGACTTGCCTCGGGCAGAATCACCTCGGCACGCCACCAGCAGCTCGTCACAGATAGCTCGCCACCAAGTAGCTCGCTACAAGGCCGCTCATTGTTAGGTAGCCCGACGTCTCGCGAGAAGCTTCCTGCCTGACAGAACCGTACTTGCCAACCCTGAAGACTACACCCACATCCCTTGTCTGGTGGCGCAATATCTGCTGACTCTGAGGACTGCACTCATGTCTCTCGCCTGGCGGTGTCGTGCCTGCCAACCCCGGAGGTTGTCTCCTGCCTGGCGAGACCATACTCTACAACGGTCGCATTAACCCACCTGCTCCCCAGTCCTGACGATAACAGCCAATCACTCTGAAACGTTACCTGACAACAGATCGCCGCGGCAGAGATTCGGGATCAATCCCACCAAACCTGTCAAGATGCCAGTATATAAAGACTTCAACCCCCCAGGGGCCAAGGTATCGCATATTCACCGCTCTCTAGCTTTCTCATCTTCTTGCAAACTCATTCTCTTCCAGCTCGCAACCGAGTACTAACTTAAGCATCGGAGTGCTCCCGCCGAGTTAGCAACCCCGGGTTCCTTCATCTCTCTTCACGCAGGTACCTCTTGCCCATTGCCAGCTAGGAGCTCAGTCACTTCCAGCTAGGAGTGGCCGGATTGCGCATCATCAGTCTCCATATTTCAGATTTCATTGATAATTACATATTTAAGGTTTAAAGTTTTAGAACATTATTGAAAATTCTTTGATATTTTATGAAACTCATCATAATTTTTTAAAGATGTTTTTATAAAAGAACCAATGGGGAATTGGTGATTGGATAGTTAGCTTACTATTTTAATATGGATCACTTACTAAGTCACTATAATCCAAAAGAAAAGAAAAAGGAAAGCATACAACTACATGCAGCGAACAGGAAATGACTATGCAACAGGATATACATCTTAACAACGATGATGAAAAATGGTGATAACAATATATGACAATAATAATAATAATTAATTTTAGATATTAACCAAATTAACTTTTTCACTCACCGGCTATACAGATAACAAAGCTCTGCATTGAATGCCTCATCTTGTTTACTAACACCATATCTGGAATGTCAAACCAGCAGGAAAGCACAAAAAATATGATCAACTAGGACATACCGGTAACTTAACCAGACAAAATAACGTTAAAAACCTGAAAAGCCAAGTAATGCATATAAACGGAAGCAATCTAGTCACAGGCATGCATTTATCATGACCAGGCAAATATATCTCCAAGTTCTTAAAAGTCCACTGTTCAAAACATAATATCCATCAAATCAAGATCTTGAAACAGATAATCGTCGTTAAAGCAAATATAACCCATAAAGTCCAACTTAGGGAATTGCCTATCTACACTAAAATAGACCAAATATGGCCGATTGCAAAACGGACGCTGCAATCATAAGTTCATTACAACAACCGAACACGCCACATTAACCGGTCAATCAAAATTCTATCAGGAATGAACTGACATTAATACACGCTCAACCAAGAAAAATAAATAAAAAAAGAATTTCATTATAGCCAGCAAAAAGGAAATAGGTTACTTCTATCGTAAACCATGATTGATATCAAGTAAATCCAACACAAGAAAGGTCCGAATTCATCAATGCAAACCGAGTAACCTGTAAACAGTACATGAAACAGGAAATGAACTAACTTTTTAGCGATTCCTTCAATGTCTTCCTTCTTCAAGGCTCCGGGGTCATCATGGCCCGCCACAAAAGTATGTAAGTTCACTGCCGCAACCTCCGGAATGCAAGAATTCAACGCGTAAGCCGCAGTGCCACCAGCCGCACCAAGCGCAATAGCACCACCTAAACCAGTATTCCGGGTCCCTCCAATTCGATTCCCCAGCCCATAGCCAGCAGCAAGCGCACCAGCAACAATAACAACCGAGCTCGCTAGCCTAACCGAGGGCGACAAGCCATCCACAAGTAATTGCACGCCAGAGAGCTCCTTCTTTCCCCCAAAGACAGACGAACTTATCGACTGGCTCACTTCTGCCGGGTCAGCAGCAGAGCTCCGAACAAGAGAGGCCCGGTAACGGCGTTTTCTGTACAGAGAACTTGAGGTTTTACTGGGTAATGAATAAGGGTTTATAAAATGAGAGAAAAGTACGTGACGAGAGGTTAAAGAAGAAGAAGAAGAAGAAAAAGAAGAAGAAGAAGGAGAGGGAGAAGGGAGGAGAAGAGAGAAATTCATTTCTCCTTATCTTTTTTGAAGAGAAGAAAAAGTTTTGGAATTTTGATTCTCTTTTTCTTCTTCTTGCGGGAGAAGTAGGGTTTTAGGGTTTTGAGAGAAATAGACTCATAGACATCGGAGTTACAGACAAGAAGTGGAGAAGGAGAAGAAGATAATATAGAAAGCAGGGAAAATGGCAGCTTATCTTGAAATTGGAAAAACTTTGGCTGTTCGGTTAACTCGAAATATTGGGCCCGTTTGAGAGGGCTTTGCGTTATCGAACTGCTTTGGTTAAGTTGAGCAGCTTGAGCTGCTACGGTCTACGGACAAGGTGTGTGGGTTATGCATACGAATTCCGGATTCGGATACCAAAAATCCGTGGCAGTCCTATCAATGATACTAGACCTGTCATGGGCCGGGTAGCCCGATGGCCCAGCGCGCACCCCGGTCGGGCTTGGTCATGTAATTAGGCCCGCGTGCCTGACCTCAGGCCTAACACAGTAAGTCTGACTGTGTTACGGCCAGGCTCAAGATTTGTCAAAAAAGTTCGGCCCGAGTCTGGCCTTCAGCATTATATATTTTATAAAATACATATTATAATTTACAATTATATATAATTATAATTTAATATAATTATTGAAATATATATATTTATTGAAATATTATATATAAATTTAATAAAGATTATATATAAATATTTATTGAAATATTTATATATAAATATTTATATTTATTCAGCAATATTATATATAAATAATATAATATTTATTGAAATATATATTTATAAATTAATATATACATTTTTTATTTTTTCTTTATAATTTATCTCTCACTCTCTCTCTCTCTATTTAGCTGCTTCAGCAGTAGTAACAACATGGGCTAAATTTCGAGCTCTAGCCTAGGCCTGGGCTTCAGGCTTTTTATGAGGGCCAGGCTCGGGCCCAAGTTTTAGGCCCAATGGTCAGGTCGGGCTCAGGCTCGAACCTTAGAAAAATTTGTTAATATAGAGTGAAAGCCCAGCCCGACCCGACCCATGAACAGGTCTAAATGATACCAAAAATCCGTGGCCATGTATGTAAATGGTTCGGATTCAGATTTTGCAATTTGGTTGGATTTGACTCTATCTGGTTCGATTAAAATCAGAATCTGATTATATTATAATATTTATTGATTTTAATATATAAATTATATATATATGATAGGGGTGCTCTCTCCAGGAAATGGAATTTACTCGTGCGAGTAGATTCCCACATGAGAAAAACCCAGTAATCACAGTAATTAATTATTGTAATTTAATAATTACTGATTATTAAAGTAATTTAATAAATATATCTATTTATCTTAATAATTATTGATTATTATAAATATATAATTAGTGATTATAATTAATAATTATTGTTATTATAAATATTGTTAATAACTAGACATTTACTTTAAAATTATAATATTGTTAATAAATTACTGGTTATTACAGTAACTATCGTTATCATAAATATTGTTAATAAATAGATATTTATTTTAAYTTTACTTTAAATTAAAATTATAAATATTGTTATTAATAAATACCGTTAATAAATTTAGTAATTATTGTTATATTAAAAATAATTAAAAATGTTGTTAAAAGTATTCTTATTGATTATTTAATAAAATATTATAACTACTAACTATTATTGATAAATACTACTAAGTTAATTTAATTTTGGTAATTATTAATTTAATGAATATTGTTAATAAATCCTATTCATAAATTTAATATTTACTATTATATTAAAAATAACTAAATAATATTATTAAAACTATCATTAATGATTATTTAATTAAATAGTATAATTACTTATTATTATTGATAAATGTTGTTAATAACATTCTGACAACCGATGATTCGAACGGATGGCCCGCTCTGACAACAAAAATTACAAGCACAAAATTACAGAACCATTTTGGCCACTGATTTTCGGGTCGACAGTTTGATCATCCGGTTCGAACGGATGGTCTGTTTTGACAACAAAAACTATAAGCAAAAAATTGAGTTTGTGAGGTCCATTAAGTAATATCATACGTGTTATGTCATTCGAGCGTATGACTCATACGACTCGAAAACGGAATCGTTCTGGCCACCAGTTTTTGGGTCGAGGGTTTGACCATTTGATTTGAACGGACGGCTCGTTTTGACAACAAAAAATTACAAGCAAAAAATTATGGAACCATTCTGGCCACCGATTTTTGGGTCAATGGTTCGATCATCCGGTTCAAACGGATGACCCATTCTAACAACAAAAATTATAGGCAAAAAATTGAGCGTGTGAGGTCCATTGAGCAGTATCATACGTGTTATGTCATTCGAGTGTGTGACTCGTACGAAAATGGAATTGTTTGGGCCACCGGTTTTTCGAATTGACAGTTCGACTATCCGATTCGAATGGACGACCCATTCTAACAACAAAAATAAAAAATAAAAATGGCCAAAAACCAATAAACATGTCAATGGGTTAACAGTTTGACCACTCGGGTCAATGGGTCGTTGACCGATTCAAACGGTTTTTGGCCAAGGGCTGGGATTGGGGTAAAACGGAACTGGTTGTCTGGACGGCTCCCAATTAAAAAAATAAAAAAATGGAAAACCCGTTTTGACAAAAAAAAATACAGGCAAAAAATTGAGTGTGTGGGCTCCATTATGCACTACCATATGTGTTATGTCATTCGAGCGCATGACACATACAACCTAAAAACGGAACCGTTATGGCCACTGGTTTTTGGGCCAACGATTCGACTGTTCAGTTTGAACGGATGGCCCGTTCTAACAACAAAAATTTTAAAAATAAAAAAATGACCAAAAACCATTGAATGAGTCAACGGTTTGATTGCTTGGGTCAATGGGTCATTGACCGATTCAACGATTTTTGGCCAGGGACCAAGATTAGGATAAAACGGAACTGGTTGCTTGGATGGTTCCCAATTAAAAATAAATAAATAAATGGCCAAAAACCATTGAATGGGTCAATAGGTCAACAGTTTGACCGCTCAAGTCAATGGGTCGTTAACCGATTCAACGGTTTTTAGCCAGGGATTGGGTCAACAGGTCGACGGTTCCATTCCAACCCCTACGAAGCAGGGCCCCTCCACTAGTATTTCTATTAATTTATTATATATAAAAGTTGAAAAGTAATTAAGTTTTTAATGTTTTGTATTTTAAAAAATTAAAGTGGTGTCGAATTAAATCTGAATCAGATCCTAGTCCATTAGGATTTGAATTCAAATCCACGATCTTCAAATCTAATTAGATTTTGGACCAAATTTGGATGCAAGTTTTCAATAATTGGATCGGGTTCTAGTTTTGTTGAATTCGATCCGATTATAACCCTATTTGGGATGGATTATGCATTTGGGGCAAGTTGCATTAGGAAAATTGGCCCATATGCTTTAAATAAACTATTCAAAGAAATACCCAAAAATAATAATAAGCTTATATACTCATGTTATAGATACAAATTTGGTGTTATAAGAAATGTTGTGATGAAATTAACAAAATAAATAAATAAGTAGAGTAAATCAATTTGCAATAAAGTAAAGCACATAGGAATTTATAGAGGTGCCAAACTAGGCCTATGTCCTCTCCTCAAACAACCTTCAATTTTCAATAAATTAGATGGACTTTCAAATGCTAGTAAAATCTTATAATAGTTTAACTTCTAGGTGCCAACAAGACCTTACACAATTGGACTTACAGGTGCCAAGAAAACCTGAACGGTTGTCAACCAAACCTAAACAATTAAGCTTATGGGTGCCAACCAAACCTTTAATGATGTTATAACTTGAGCACTCTATTATAACAAGATGATCAACAATGAAAAGCACAATAATACAAATGCCTCTTGATAGGCTGATAAAACTAATACAAATAAACTATTCAAATGCAAGAGTATGCACAAATGATATAAGTTCAATCTCTTGAACTCTTGAACAAATGTGGGGAAATCTCAATGAGAAACAAATACGTCCAAAGGCTACACAGGCTTTTCTCACTTGTGTGAAATGATTAAGCTTAGAAACCTCTTCTATTCTAAAACACTGATTTAAGCTACACAGGCTTTTCTCACTATGATAATCTTCATACTTTAAGCTCTTAAGTTTTTTTTTTTTTTTTTGTGTTCAAAACCACTGATTTATAATGCTTGAGAGCATATGATCATTATAAATCTATTGGTAATGGATTAAACTAAACTTATAAATGTTCAGAGCATGTTTCCAACAAGATTGAAGGCTTGCCAAAAGAGAAAAGAGTTATTATGCCTTCAAACAGTCAAATTTCATTGCCAAGTAATTGATTATCACAACCTAGTAGTTGACTATTATGCATAGAGAGCATATCTTTTCTCTGGTAGTCAACTACCTCTTGATAGTCAACTATGAAGTACTGCCAAAGTAACTCTAGCCTTGGCTGTTATTGGTACTCAACTATACCTTCATGGATAGTCAACTACTAGGTAACACTAATCTCTACAGTCATGGATAGTCGATTATTGACAATTCTCAATCTTAGAAATTCTAAGTTTATGACTTCAGAGATTTACAAATCTAACTCCTTAGGTTTCCAAAATTATATTTTTCACTTTTTACGTCCACACAAGAGTTTGGAAAAAACCTAAGAGTCATTGGTTTCTAAGGTTAGATCAATTGAGTTTGGTTAGCAAATAACTCATAGAGTACATTTTTTGCAAATGATTACATCAAATCCTAAGAAATGAGACACAATATAAAGCACTAGAGCTTGATGTTTTTTCCTTCTAGCTCTTGATAGCATTCATCTTCCTTGGAAAATGACAAGATGATAGTCAGTTGCCCAAATGCATTTCATCCCGATTTGATTCTTCATGGTGAATTGTCAACATTTTACCTCAATAAAAATTACTTAGCACAATGCACACATAACATCATTCCATTAGTACTCTTAATGAATTTGTTATCATCAAAACACATAGGGTCAATACTTCAA